ATAGATAGATAGATAGATAGATAGATAGATAGATAGATAGATAGATATATAGATAGATAGATAGATAGATAGATATATAGATAGATATATATATATAGATATATATAGATATAGATAGAGATATAGATATCGAGAGAGAGATAGATATCGAGAGAGAGATAGATATCGAGAGAGAGATCGAGAGAGATATCGAGAGAGAGATCGAGAGAGATCGAGAGAGAGCGAGAGAGAGAGAGAGGTTTTACAGCCTCTCCTCAGTCAAAGTTTCACGCCAGTTTTGGTCTCAGCCGAGGCAATCGTGCCTTCCTAGTTGCACTGAGGAGCCAAAATGTAATGTTTTTTTACAGGATCTGGTTAAAGGAAAAGGTTTATTCGGGGCGGTATTTTAAATGATGTGAAATATCACAATTTTAAGCTGTTTCGGTTGTGTTTTCTGCCTAAAGCGTTGATGCGTCACGCATGATGTTTAAGAACCCTCCGAAAGTTGAAAATCTGATGACGGTTTTTATAAATGGTGATAAACGGTGTAGTTTTGGCAATTGTTTAAAGAAAACATGCTTTTCCATCAGAGGTTTAATGTGTATTTTGGCTGAAGTTTGTCATCTGCATGTTTCCAGAGGAGAGGAACTACATTTGTGACCAGTGTGGCCAAACTTTCAAACAGAGGAAACACCTCTCAGTTCACCAGATGAGACATTCAGGGGCCAAGCCACTTCAGTAAGTATAGATGATGTGATTTTCCCACTTTCAAACTTCTGTTCAGTAGTTGATGTAAAATGAAGCATAAGTCTGACCCGGCACCACATTTAGATTTTTGGTTGATCATTTAGAATTAACAACCGTGAACTGGTCTATACATTACTGTGGTTTAAAAAATATATATATATATATATTTCTTCACCTTCAGATGTGAGGTGTGCGGATTCCAGTGTCGCCAGCGAGCGTCGCTGAAATACCACATGACCAAGCACAAGGCGGAGGCCGACCTGGAGTTCGCGTGCCTGATGTGCGGGAAGCGCTTCGAGAAGGCCCACAACCTGAACGTCCACATGTCCATGGTCCACCCGCTCATTCAGGCCAAGGTTCAGAGAGGCAGCAGCCACGAGCAGCAGCAGCAGCAGCCGTCTCTGCCACCATCATACTCAGACCTGCACACCATCGCTCTGACCGGAGAGGTGGTTCAGCAAGACCAGGACAGATGACGGAGGGAGAGGGTCCAGATCTGCTGAACGGGGACACATGAACTGTGGGATTTTCCCCAGCTCTGAAAACCTGTACTGTGGTTTTCACATTCAGTGTCATGGACTGGGCAATACTGATGGTTAACTCACTTCTCTACAACATAGCAGCTTTATGCGTCATCACAACAAACTGTTATCTTCAGCATTTAAGTTCCATTTTGGTAGATCTTGACCAATCTGCTGATGATTACTATCTTATGGGCGCTTCAGTTTTCATTCCACACGTCATCTTTTATTTCATCGTCAGGACATCTTCCGACCACCGTTTGCCACAAGTCTTTCCTCCACATGTGACATTGACATTGTCTGCAATGCAGGCTGACACTCCGGCGGCATTGAGGATCTAAGTTTCTGGGTCGACAATTGGGGCGTTTTCAGTGTGAACCGCAGGTATACGAGTAGCTGGCATAACTGGAGCCTGCAAATAAAAAAATGGATCCGCTGTCCCAAAAAAATATTTTAAAAAGCCCAAAAATGACAGCAGCTTTTTCGCCATTTCATGAATGACCACCGCCGGTGCCAACCTCGGTGACTGCGTTTTCTGTAACTGCTTCACAATAAAAGTCACCCAGTGTTTGTTTTTAGTTTTTGTTTGCCAGTTGAATGATGTGTAGCAGCAGCAGAGGGTACAGTAATGTTGGGTTTGCATTAGCAGCACAGGTCATTTCCTGTCAGCCCCACATTCGTTGGTGATAATTAACATAACTACATAATTACAGAGTGAAAACTATGGCGGCCATAAATAGCGTATATGGTCGGATTTAATTAAAATCTGAAGGATTAGAACTCGAAAAGACGGCAACCACCTCTGTTACAGATCTGGCATAAAGGTGATGTTAACGCCGCCTGTGGACTGGTTTTAATTCATAGCTGAAGTACACAGTAGCAGTCACACGTCCCACAATGCACTATTCTTGTTACCAGGATATACGGGGGGGGGGGGGGGGG